CCAACCCACAAGGAAATACCCATAAATACAGTCTGGACTCTTACTGATAATTTGTCTATGTGTTTTGAAAATATAAACAGTTCAGGCAGAATCTTGGGTTTTGTGCCTTTAAAAATGTATAACTACACTCTTGTGTGATTCAAATGACCACAGGTTCAACACCTCCATGTGCAGTTGCCTTAAACAACTACAATGTTACTTCTTACGATGGCTCTTTAACATGGAAAAATTCAGGGAATAACGCCACTGTATCCTGGAAAGCAGATGTCCTTCTGCTCCTGAATATTATTTGGGGACTGGACTAAAAAAGAAAATTGGTATTTGGTGGAAAACAGATAAAATCAATCTCTTAGAGAATCCCAGCCCCAAGACTCAGAACAATCAAAACCCATGCTAATCTTTTAACCCTGACCCAAATGTATAGAAACCTCAGGTACTCTTTTTTTTTTTTTTTTAAAGATTTTTATTGGGGAATTGGGGGAAGGGGAACAGACAAGTTGCTGTACTTTTGTTCTTTAGTTGTGGAGGACGTTGCTTCACTGGCCCAAGTTGGCACCATCATTGCGCTCTTCCCGGGAGAGGCAGATCAGTTGCTGGCTTTTGGACGGCCGCTCACTGCAGCTGCTGGCCGCTCACGCTGGCTGCTGGCTACACACGGTAGCCCATGGCAACCCACCTGCCGTGGCCTGCGATTCACAGGCAGCCCAGCTCCAGGTTGAGCTGTTGTTCAGCATCTTAGCTGTGGAGGGCAGTGTCACTGGCCCTCATATGTGGGATCCGAACCAGGGCCCTCTGGCATCCCAAGCCAGCTCTTAACCAACGCGCCACTCGGCCGGTCCCTCAGGTGCTCTTTTAATCATTTTCACAATAAATCACATGATAACTTTTAATGTCTTATATGTTGAAAACTATTATGATCATCCAACATATGGAAGATATGAAGTCCCTGCCTCTGAAATAGGACTTCATACTTCCCCCCTAGTCTGGGTTGAAGGACCTAATTATAAACTCTCACTTGAGGGCACTGGGTGTTTCTTTCTTCTTGTGTGGGGCCCAAATATATGTCACCTTGCTAACTTGATGGTGAGGCAGATGTGTTATTATGGTAGTCCGTAATGCTGTCACCAGAAAGACTCTCCCTTCTTTTGCCACCAACTCCAATGTAGGCTCTTTTGTCTATAAAATTTTTACCAAAACAGACCAAATGGAATTGGGATTTGGAGCATGGTCTTTTTGGTCCTCGCTCCATCTGATACCCAATAATAGATAAGTGAGGCCTTGGGTGTGCCCTTTTTGGAGCTTTCTTTCCTTGGTATGGAGTAGCTGAATTAGAAAAGTCTATCAGAAATATTTCTATTCTTGTAGCACAAATATTAAATGCTACTACAAGTGCTTTTGAAGAACAAGGAATGACTGACAGTCCATCTGAAATAGTACTATAAAACTATAGGGATCTAGACGTATTAGCTGCCCAGCAAGGTGGTACTTACACCTACCTGATTGGAAGAAGAATGTTTTCTATGTTAACAAATTAGGTGAAGTGGTACAACAGCTTGAAGTTCTGAAATGTTGGGAGCCATGCAGGCTGACTTTACTGATTGCATATCTTGTTTTACTTCTTGTTTTACTTGCACCTGGAGGGTGTTTTGCTTAATCTTGAGGTATGTGGAGAGAATGGCCAGTGCCTTGGGAGACACAATAGAGATAGATGGCTATCTGGGATTATGGAAGAAATTGTCCCCACTGACCTTTAAGTTTCTAAGTGGATTATCAATGAATTACTCTGGAATGAGGCAATGCATAATTGTCTCTTCTTTTTTGTACTCACCCTGAATGTATATAATGGTGGTGGAAAATAAACTCGGGGCTTCAGTATTTACTGGAGTCCTCCCGGTAACTCTCTCTTCTGTCTCTTTTCTTAATCCTCGCGCCCCCCTCAGGACTGTTCGACATATCAGCTGGTTCCGATACTGAAACAAAATACTAAAATCCTGAACAGACAGAACATTACCCCATAAACTGGGACTGGACAGACTTATTTAACTGGCTGCCTAAAGGAATAGGACTTTGTTCTACACATTACAGGCCTTAATCATATTGGTTTTGGTGATTATACTGATCACTACCTTAATAAGGTGTCTTATCAGGTGCATCAAACAACAACTAAGAGCCACTACCAGAGTAACAGTAGCCCAGTGCCTACAGAGTTAACAACGAATAAATCTGACTGAGACCACCTCTACAAAGGAACTTTAAATTTGAAGGATATATGACTTAACTGCTTCCGACAAGCCTCCTTGTTGCTCAGATGTGGTCATAGGCTCTTACTGTACACTCAAGAGACTGCTTTCCCTTCCACATGGGGCTTGATATAACAGGAATGAGTGTTCCTGGCAATGAGGTATCAATGTTGCTTTTCCAATGACAGACCAGTGATATTTTCTAATGGTTGACCATCTATGTTCTCTAAGGAAAGATCTCAATCAAAAGGGGGAAATGTGAAAGAAAAACAGCAAGATGGCGTTGATATTGTCAAGAGAGCACTCTAAAATGGGGTTGGGAGGTTGCTGAGCTAACTCACCCCCTTCCGTGTGAGACTGAACTTTTGAACTGGGCTAAACCAAATGGCTACATCCCAATACAGTTTCTGGAACTGATTTTGCATCACTGAACTCTATTAAAAAGTAAATTTTTCACCTAGCAATGGACATAAGCAATTAATCATGTATAGCATAGTGTAAGTCTGTTTGCCAGCACCCTACTACTCCCCACCAATCACAGCTCTTTCAAAGCAATTTATGTAATCCTTTTGAAAGCCTCCCTTTTTCTGTCTTTATAAACTCCGTCTCTTTCTTTCCCCCTTGGAACACATTGGGTTTCTTCCCAAATCTGTGACTTCTGGATTTGCAATTCCTAAGACCACCCCCCCCAATAAAGCTTTTGTTTGCCTTGCAATTATTGGTCAAAATTGATAGATACTGGCAGAAGACAATAATAAATCAGTAGGCGATACAGTATGTTGGGAAGCGGTATTATTGGAAAAAAGAGAACAAGGAGAGGGAATGATGGAATACCGGGAGGGAATCTAGGGAGCTACAATTTCGAATAGAGTGATTAGGAAAATCCACTGAGAAGATATTTAAACAGAGACCTGCCCCTGGTAAGAGAAGAACCATGTGGATATTTGGGAGAAGATCATTCCAACAAGTGCAAGAACCTTGAATTTGTTTTCTTTATTAGTTTTTATTTTGTCAGTTTCTTCTTCTCAGGTAATTTGGTAATGATGGGGAATGGGAAATAATTTTCAAGTTCTGATTAATTTAGAAATGTTGACTGTCAATGACCTATTGTTTTTCCAACTTCTTTCACCATCCCCTTTAGCTCACTTTGAGTTTCTTTATCCCTAGGTCCTGGCAGAGATACCCTAAATGAGAACAGTGTTGAAGCCTAGTAGTTATCACATCTCTTATTGAGTGGGAATAGAGAGAAAAAGCTGGGAAGTCAACTAAGAAAAGAGATCCAATTTCAGTGTTTCCCTTTATGAAAGTCCTGCTTGTTGCAAAGTTTGGCATTATCAAGGAAGGCTCTCAAGACTCTGCTTCATGCTAGAGACAATAGAAAAAATAAAACAAAACCCTCAAAAAACAGAACAAAACAAAACCAACAAAATAATAAACCCATCCCTTCTATTTGATACATTTTAAAATTAAATGGATACAGTAGTACATACAGTTACAAAATCATAAAATAATATTTCTAGTATAATTTCAAGTTATGGATACCTAAGCAAAAAGTTACAAAACTTCCGCTGTCCTTACATTAACTCTAATTTCAAAAAGGGTCCTATTGTTCTCACTCTGTTTACAAGTATTGGGGCGGTGGTGCCACGGGACAAGAGGCTTCCTTCCACCTGTAGGGTGAAGCTCTACTATGAAAGTGCCTTGAAAAGTAAAAAAGTGTGCTGAACAAGCATCAAGCACCACCATTGTTTACTACGTGCATTGTTGCTTCTTTTAGAAATCTGGCAAGTATTTAATAGCACTAGGAGATAGACAAATACATATCCATCCATAACGATATATGTATTCACCAATAATAAAAGCCAGGTTTTAAGCTTTAAGAAAAGGTCACTTTATTCTTTGTGCACGGGCAGTGATTGAGCCCCTCGGCCTCAGTCATCTGAAAAGTGAGGATAAAATAGTACTTACCTTTGTAACGATGCAATGCATAATGGCTGATGTTAACTTACTGCAGTGATCATTTTGCAATACTACATACAAATGTTGAATCATTATGTTGTACCCCTGAAACTAATATAATGTTATATATCAACTATACCTCAATTAAAAAATAGGACTTACCTGCTTTATAGGGTTAAAGTGAGAACTAAATGGGATAATTCATGCAAAGAAGAGTGCCTGGCACCAAAAACAGCACTCTAAAACGCTGACAGTTATTAAACTCACAAAAATATCTGCAGTGGAGGGATGTCTCAGAGTTCTTCCATCGAGGTCTACTGTAACCATACATCTCAGGACATCATGTGAACGTTTGAATGTACTGTCAGAATCAGCTACATCAATTTATTAGTTTTGTCATCTGCTTTATTAAGCCCTCATTCTCTGTTAGGTCTTATGCCAGGGAATTAGTTGGTCTTAAATCCAGTGCTTTATTTCTCACTGAAGGAAAAAGTTCACAGCTTTATTAAATCTCAAATATATGCCAGGGCTTCAGAAATGTTATTGTCAGAAACTGAACTAAAAACTCCTTAAAAGGAACCCAGATCAGGTGGGAAGGTGCGAAGGGCTGGGCACTGTGCCCCCCGGATGTGAAGAAGGGAGCTCCTGGCCTCTGCCTATTGATTGGCGTTTAGAAGTCTCCAGGGATTATTTCTAGCTGGTGGCTGAACAGGACGCAGGCAGGCGGGTTACCCCCCCCCCCCTTTTTGAGTGAAATCACGTGCTGAAAAGTGGAGGTGGCAGCGGCCAGAGCGCCCTTCCCCCTCAGGGCCGGAGGCTTCATCCTGATGTGTTCTGGCCACATCCTGCTCCTTGACGCGCATGGCCGAAGTCGGGCCTCACCTGCTGCAGGTGTCCCCAGGTAGTCCAGCAGCGTGGCTGCCGCCCTCTCCTCCCGGCCCGCAGATGGGGGGCGGCGACTCGGACCTTGGCCCGGGGGAGGTTAGGCGCCTCGGGGATCCGGAGCCCGCTGGCGCTGCGCCAGGGCGAGGGCAACCTGCGGGGGACGGGCCGCGCCTCCTCCCGGAACTGGCAGGCGCCGCGGGGCGCGGGCAGCGGCGAGAGCGCGGCCGCCGCGCGGCTGGGGCCATGGAAGCCCTTCCCGGGGGCGGGGGCCGGACCGGACGCCCGGAGCCGGAGGCGAGGCCGGAGGACGTGGCGGAGGAAGCGGTTCCCGAAGCGGCCGGGGCCCCATCCCTGAGCGGGGCGCCCCCGGCGGGGCGGCCGCCGGGCTCCCGGGACTCCTGGGAGGGCGAGGAAGACTCGGAGCCCGGCGACCCGCGGGGCGGCCGGACGAGCCGCACGGCGTCCCTGGTGAGCGGGCTGCTCACCGAGCTGTACAGCTGCACCGAGGAGGACGAGGCGGCCGGCGGGGGTCGCTGGCCCGGGGGCCGCCGGCAGCGTCGCGACAGCCTCGACAGCTCCACCGAGGCCTCGGGCTCCGACGCGGTGCTGGGCGGCCGTGGTGGCGCGGGCGACTCCCGCGTGCTGCAGGAGCTGCAGGAGCTGCAGGAGCGGCCGAGCCAGCGGCACCAGAGGCAGTACCTGCGGCAGAAAGGTGAGCGGCGTCTCGGAGGGGGCCGCCGCCGGGCCGGCCCGCGCTGCAGCGCCCACCGGAGCGCACCTGGGCTGAACAGCCGAGCGCCCAGATATTAAGTTTGGGGCATCTCCTTTGCTCTGTCACTGGTGCCCGCCCACAGGGCCACAGCTTCATGGCTAGACTTAGTTCTTGTTGCCCCCTGCCCACCCCCTCTCGTGTGGCCGAGTGGAGCATCAGTAGTTGGATGGTAGCCGCGGGTCTCCATCCTCCGCCACAGGTGTTTGTGGAGGCCCAGGGGAGAGGCAGTCCAGGTTCTCATTTCGCCAGAACAGCTGTTAGGACAGGTTTGGCGTTTCTGATAAGTATATCTGAAGTTACCTAGAGGACGCTGGGAGACGAGAGGCGACTCCTGGGGCTGGGCTTTTTTTTTTTTTTTAATCGTTTCCTGGCCACACCACTTGGATAGTGTTTAACTAGTGAGGCAGAATAATTCGATAATGCGGTTTCTAAGCAGAACGTCTGAATTCTATTTCTGCCAGAACGTCTGATTTCAAGAAGCTCACTAGGTGGATTCACGCCTCCTCCTCCCCCTCCATTAGTGGAGGGCCCTAAAGCGTTGGCGTTATCACAGAATTTAACTGCTTGGTCCCCTCAGTTGGAGAGGTCATCCGAAAATGGCCTTGGCTTTCAGGGGGAGAGGCTAATTTGGTATTCCTTTTGCTACAGGCTGTGATGCGGATGTCCTAATTGAGATCCGCCCCCCCCCCCAACTGTTCATAATATTTGCCTTTCAGGCACTAACACAATTATTACAGTTGTCTTTTTTTATATAGATGTATCAAGACTTCAATTTACAAAATGAAATGAGGTGTGGAAAACGGATGCTAAGCCACCATACCATTTCTTGAATTAACGTCCTTGTGATAAATTAACAGGAGAGAAGGGAAAGCGAGACTATGTACTAGAGAATGATTTCCTGTCTCCTAATTGAAAAATCAGACTAGTTGGTGCCAGGGGTGGGGTGGGGGTGGGGAACCCAGAAAAGGAATAAATCTGTCTGCTTTCTCAAATCTATGTAAACAGCTTTCAGCTTCCTCTTTCCCCTTCCTAGTGAAGATTTTTTCCCCCAGCTGATTGTTACAAATGGCTTCTACCTTCCTTCCCATGCCTGGGACTTTAGCTGGAGTTATGCCATTTCATTATACACAATTATTTGGCTGTTCTCAGAGTGTCTGTTTATGCCAAGAGTTCCGTGGAGCAACAGTTCTTTCAGAATCCAATAAAATCAGTTTTGAAGAGTTATGATTTGTCTTTCTGTTTTTACAAGGCTGTTCACTTTTCATTACTGAGTGAATTTTGGGTATTAGTAATTTTCTTTTGGAAGAGGAAATTTGGCAAGCTAAAGTTTAGAGAAGTAACAATACAGCTTTGCAAGTGAACTTCAAATGAGTGACCACTCTAGAAAGCATTAATAAAATCTGTAAGAGTCTGTTTTGCCCAAGTCTCAATCTTATTGCATGGTTAGTTGCCTGCTAGTCTTTTCTTATAGTTAACCCTCTGAGGATGAACAAGATGCCATATTAGAAGCTACACACACACACAGACACACACACACACAGACACACACACACACNACACACACACACACACACACACACACACACACACACACACACACACTGCTTTATCGGTAAATATCATTAAAATATCATTAGAGTACTAAGAATAAAGAACCAGCTCTCTGCTTAAATAATTTTGGTTTATTCGGCCACTTGATTTTTTTCAGGGTCAAAAAATATCCCTCCTAATATAATATACACTTAGTAAGAGTATCATATAATGTAGATAACTTGTGTATTAATTCTCTCTGTTAGGGATTTTGCTGTAGCCTTGGTGTAGCACCTACTTACATATTTAGCATGTGTGGGTCCTTTATTTATATGAGGCACCAAAATGGTTTCTCAGGAAATATAGGCTCTCTTCTTAGTGCTTCCATTAAGGGGTGAACTTTGGAGTCAGAATGATTGAGTTGATATCCTGCCGCTGTTTCTTATTAGGTGTATGACCTCAGGCAAGCATTTAACCTGTCTCTCATTTTCCTCCCTTATAAATAGGGATAATAATAATACCTACCTCAGCAGGCTATAGTGAGAATTATACAATTTAATGTATGTAAAGTGCTCAATAAATGTTAGATATTATTATTATTATTATTATTACTACTACTATTACTATTATTATTATTTACACTGGGATTCCTTAGAGAGGAAACTGTCCACTGTCATTGACGATCTCTTTTTTCCTATTTATTTAACACTGTGTTAGGAGTTATGACTGATGCTGTGGGCATACTAATATAAAGAAGCCTTTATTTATCCCTGTCGTCAGGATGCGTATGTACCAGCAGATATTGCTGTAGATTTCCAAACTCAACTCTGAAGATTTTCCCCATGTTAGACAATACATAGAATTGCGAGATTCACAGAGCTGTCGGTACCTTAAGAGTCACAGAAAATGACTCTTTGGGGGAAGGAAGTATAATTTTAATGCACAATAATGATATTCTTACCGCTTTTTCTAGATAGGAAAATTTTAAACATTCAAAGAAAGGATATTTGTTCTCTCTGAAGGAATCTAGGAAGGAAGAGCCTCTGTCTCTTCTGGTGGTTTGTTCTCATATTTAATTCTTCTTAGAACCCAAAATAGTTTGATTTAGCCTAAGTGAGCTCTTACTTCCCATTATATCCCACTGTGTTTGAACTCAAGGTGAAAGAAATAACTGGTCTGTGTTTTCTTCTTCGTAGAAATTCCTTATTCATATTTTAGTGCTATTTATATTAATATTTATAAAGACTATTCACATTCATTTCTCAGAATAATCTTGTATGCTAAGCACAGCTTGAGACTTGCAGCAATACCTTGCCTAAGGTCATATAGATGGTTGGTTCAAAGGCAATTCTTTTTAGCTCAAGGTCAAATGGACTTTTTCTCCATGTGGTCAGGTTTGACAGCTGTTAAAGCCCCACCCTGCACTTCTCTTATACTTGAATTTCACTTGCTTTGACATCTGGAGGGATTTTTCTTACTTCTGAACATTTCTTTTGTTCTCTTCAGATCCTCTCTCATTTTTCCAAATCCCTTTCAAAATGAGTAGATTCAAACCTCACACAAAGACCTCTAATGAGGGCCTAGCCAACGCCAACCTGAGCAGAAGGCTCTGCCTGCCTGCAGGTGACATCACCTTGAGTAATAATAATATCAAGTGTCACGAGCAAAACTACCAAATCGTAATGATTATTCATGTAAAGACTTGACATTTCTGATTCTCAAGTCTATTTTTAATTGTAGAAAAATGGCTGTTGAGAATATTAGCTATATGAATGTAGAATTGTTATTTATCTGTTTAAAGGAAATGTATTTTCTACCATATTTGAAAAATTACTGAGTCTCTAAAATAAGCAATTGTACCTAATAGCCAAGCTATTGGAAGATTGTATATTTATTTATTTAGTTTTTTAAAGATTTTTATTGGGGAATTGGGGGATGGGAACAGCACTGGGGAATTGGGGAAGGGGAACAGATAAGTTGCTGTCCTTTTGTTCTTTAGTCTAGTTGTGGAGGACATTGCTTCACTGGCCCAAGTTGGCACCATCATTGCGCTCTTCCTGGGTGAGGCAGATCAGTCACTGGCTGTCCAGAAGGACAGCCGCTCACTGCGGTTGCTGGCTGCTCACACTGGCTGCTGGCTACACACGGTAGCCCATGGCAACCCACTGCAGCAGGGGCTGAAGCCTACACCAGCGACTCTCAGCAGCCCAGCTCCAGGTGGAGCTGTTGTTCAGCATCCTAGCTGTAGAGGGCAGTGTCACTGGCCCTCATATGTGGGATCTGTACCGGGGCCCTCTGGCGTCCCAAGCCAGCTCTTAACCACTGCGCCACTCAGACGGCCCAGAAGATTGTATATTTAAAACAAAACCAGTATTGCCACATTTATCTCCATTAGAAAATGTGGTAATATTATTTACTTTCTACTGACTATTTACAAAGGTGAATGCTTTTAAAAACATTTGTTATTGGCTATTAGATTTACCATTGATGTAACAGACTCAAAAAGATTATTTTCTTGCAAACTTACCATCTGAACACATTAATGATACAAAATGTACATGCCAGTTTTCAAGCAATGAAAGGCAAATTTGTTACCAGAGCTAGATATAGTAAAAGTAAGAGTCATGCTTACATGTTACAGATAGCTTCAAAGATAAAATGTACCTCTTGGACAGGGCAGGAAATGGATGAGTGACATTTGATCGGAATATCTTAGCTGAATATTCCGTGAGAACCCAGAATTACTTGGCTTAATGGACGTTCTAGATAAGTATCTTACGATTCATGTCATATTGTCATTTGTATTCCTTTCAGGGTATTCCTTGTTCTATTTTAACTTTTCTTTCCTCATAGACACTAATGAACTGAAGACGATCCTCCGAGAGCTTAAGTACAGAATTGGCATTCAGTCTGCGAAGTTACTTCGGCAGCTGAAGCAGAAAGATAGGCTTCTGCATAAAGTCCAGAAGAACTGCGATATCGTGACTGCATGCTTGCAGGCCGTGTCACAAAAGAGAAGTAAGTGCTGGAGTGGGCTGAGCTCTTTGGCTATATGTGAGTGGAATGTTCGTGAAGCTGAGTCAACAGTCGTTGTGTTTTTTAATATATTGAGAAGTTTTAAATGGAAGCTCACTTACACCCTGGGAACTAAGAACTATTAACAACTCAGGCAGTTTCCTACTTTTCTAGTTAAAATGTATATTATATGTCTGATGTTACAGATTTAGTTTTATTATCCTAGATTTGCAGGAGTACTTAACCTTGACAATGGTTATTTTCACCTGATGCTAAAGGGTGACTAAAATCTTTATTTCTAAAACAGCATCAAATAGACACAACCTAAAAGGCATGTCTTTGCTTTCTTAGTCTCTGGGTGCTTAACAAATGAATTAAAAATTGATTTAAAAGAGGGAGACTCTTGAAACAGGATTACAGCTTGCTTTGAAACCTAAAAAGGACAAAATATTTTAACAAACTAAACCTGCCTAGTGGGTAATTTCTTCATAACTAAGAGATGCATAGTTTTGTTAACTGAGTTAAAAATAGTTAAATTACTAATGTATGTCAAATACCAGCTATAAAAGCTTGTGAATTAATTTTATAAGTCTCCTTGCGATAGTTTTATGTTTTTCTAACATTTCCCTATTTTTGTTTTGTATTCTTTATTAACATGCAGCATGGCAGAACAGTTTATTCAGGTATGGTAAATATAGGCACCAATGATGTTTTGCTAAAAGGCCTGTGGCAGCTTTTTAGGTGCATGTAAAAGTTGCCTTTTCTTGTTCCTTTACCCTGTCACATCTTACATGGAAAGTGACACCTCCTAGAGTTTTTTTTTTTTTTTTATCCAAATGAAGATGTGTTTGTTTTCATAAAACAATTTTCAGGGCTTGATTAGCTTCAGATAAGAACATTAATGGCTTAAATTCTATTGTTTATTATTAAAAGAAAATACTACGTTTTCTTTCTTCTCTTTTATTACATCACTGTTTGTTATCTCCAGATTATTCTTGCTGTTTACTTAGGAAGTTTCAACCTAATGTATATGAAATAGAATGCCACTTGATTATCACGATGATATCATGGTCCATATAAGAAGCAGGAGTGTAATTGAGTAGACTGGCTTTGAATAGGGTGTGCTCCAGAGCCAGGCATTTGTCTGAAATAGCTAGAGAAGATGGATGTGTGTATTACGTGTGTGTGTGTGTGTGTGTGTGTGTGTGTGTGTGTGTGTAATGTATATATATATATATATATATATGTATGCACAAAAAGTTGGCATGTGCTGTATTTGATATTTTTCCATGGATTCTGATTGATTCACAAGTGCCCAGTAAAAATGTTATTCTCCTCTTTTATTTTAAGATGCCTTGATTTTGATTTTTCTCTTTTCAACTGTTTTAACCTATCCATTATTATCTAAGGATAACCATGGTATAACCAATTTAATATTAATAAAATCAAATCAATAATAATAAGAATGGCAGTAGCTATAACCATTCATTATGTGGACGATTTCTGCCAAAATGTTGGTTTTATCTGTCATAGCCATTCCAAAAAGGTATGTATCTTTAGGCACATTTTAATTAGGAAAGTGAGATTCAGGAAGTTTAATTTACTAAGGTCACACAGATAAGTGGTTGAGATGGGATTTGAAGATAGATATCTTGAAAGTCCACTCTTTCTGCCATAAACTGGGACATAAGAGGACTCTACTTTTTCTTAGCAATTAGATTGATACTTCTGTAATATTATTGGAATAGGGGTGGAACAAAAAGACATTTGTAGCATGCAGAGGACCTAATACAGAGTTTCAGGTTTACGTGTTATTCTGAATATGAGTCTTTGTCAGATATATGCGCTGCAAATACTACCTCTACTTTTCTGGCTTGCATTTTCACTCTCTTAAGAGTGACATTTAATGAACAAGTGTTCTTAGTTTTTATGTAGTCCAATGTTTAATCTTTCAGCTTTCCTCAGGGCTGGCTTCATGGGCATGTGACCTGTGTGTCACATAGGGCCTCGTGCTCAGTAGGGCCCCACACTTGGTTAAATGCTCTGCTGTTGCTTTCTTGAAGTTATTATAATTTTTTAATAAGGGACTCCTAAAAATTATGTAACCAGTCCTGACTTTATGGCTGGTGGTTTTTCTATCCTATTCAAGGAATTTTTTTTTTTTCATACCAAACTCATGAATATATTTTCCCATGTTGTTTTCTAGCAGCTTTACTATTTTGTTTTCATATCTGGATCCACCTGGAATTGATTTGTTTTGTTTGTGTGATCAATAAGGAGTCAAATTTCATTTTTGTTCATATGGATATCTAATCAACCCAGCCCTATATTAAAGAGACCATCCTTTTATCACTGCTCTGTGGTACTACTTTTGTGTAAAATCATTAGTTGTCCATATGAGTGTGGGTTTCTTTCGGGGCTCTTATTCTGTTTTGTTGTTTTATTTGTTTGTCTTTGAACCAATATGACACTGTCTTAATTACTGCACTTTATAGTAAGTCTTAATATCTGATAGCATAGGTTCTTACACCTGTTCTTCAAGATTGTTTTGGTTTTATTGACTCATTGGGGGAAGAATTGACATCTTTACAATGTTGAGTCTTTCAATCCATAAATATGGTGTTTTAAGACTTGTTTGAATAATATTTTACAATTTTCCATGTAGAGGTCTTGCATATCTTTTACTAGATTTATTCTTAGGTAGTTGAGATTTCTTGATGCTATTTTAAATTGTTACCTTTAAAAAAATTAATTTTCTATTCATTTCTAATACATAGAGATATGGTTGCTTTCTGCATATTGACCTTATGTCCAGTAATCTTACTTTTTCTTTTTTTCATTCTAATAATTTATCTGTAAATTCTTTGGTATGTTTCTAAGTATGTAATCTTTATCACCTGTGACTACTCTGTTTTATGGAGAGCTTTACCATTCTCTCATTTCTTTTTCTTGTCTTGTGCACTAGCTAGGACCTCAGTATAATGTTGAATAGAAGTACTGATAATGGGATGGAAATTTTTGTTTCATGTGCAACCTAAGAGGGAAAGTTTTCATTGTTTCACCATTAAATACAATGAATGCTGAAAGTTTTCTGTAGAAATCCTTTATCAAACTAAGGAAATTCTCTTGTCCAATTTGTTAAGATGATGAATTTTATCATATACTTTTATATCTGTATTGAGATATCATGTTGAATTTTACGTATTTTGTTGAATGTTAAAACAACATTGCTTTCCTGGAAAAATCCTAAATATAGAATCTGGATTTGGTTTGCTAATGTTTTGTTTATGATTTTTATGGCTATGTTCATGACTGAGATTAGCCTATAATTTTCCTTTCTTGTAATGCTTTGTCAGGTTTGGGAGCTTCAAAGAAGTTACAGCGTGTACACACTTTTTCCATTCTTGGGAAGAGATTGTGAAAGACTGGAATATTATTTCTTTCATGTTTAGTAGAATTCACTGGTAAAATATTTGGGTCTGATGCTTTCTTTGTAGGAATATTTTAAATTATGGTTTCAACTTTTAAAGAACAATTATAGGATTATTTGTATTTACTATTACTTCTTGTATCAGCTTTGGTAAATTATATAGAATTTGCCCATTTCACATAACTTTTCACATTTCTAAGCATAAAATTTTAAAGACTATTTTTTGGGTTCCTTTAGCATTTCAAGATATTCAAACAATGTCACTGATCTAAACAGGCATTCAACTTACTACTTAAAATATCTTTTATTATAGAATGTATCATCATAAAGAAGAGTATTCTAATATATGTATGTATATTTAAAAAGAATAATTAAACAAAGGTCTATGTGTGTGGATATCTACCTATCAAGACTGAGTAATAAATATTACTGGCACATGTGAAGTCCCTATAGTTTTGAAAAGCTGAGTCACAAGCCCAAGCCTAGTTGTGTAGGGAAAGGATAATGTTGCCACTGTTAGATACGAGTAAAAGCTCTCAAAAGATAACCAGTGCCTGGGTCATAGTCTGGGGATGGGTTCCCCTGAGAATGAATGCACAGGGAGCCAGGGCAAGGTTATAAATGAGTCCTGTGGCATCCGCCAGAGCTGTGGTTTTGGCTGTTTGCTGAATGATCCGCGAGGTTGCAGGAGCGGCCTGCTTTTTATTTTGGATTCAAAGTTCACCATGCTCTCGGTCTCAGAAGAAGGTGAAAGCAGAACTCTGTTGTGGGCATGGAGGGGAGAGCAGAGCAGGCACTTCATCAATATGTTGTGAGATACGTACGGATGAGAGTCTGGACCAGTTCTGGACATTCTGTCCTCATGTTAGAGAGATGACCCAATAGCAGAAAGCATCTAGTGTTGACTGCCATCAATACAAGTGTCACAGAGGCACACTGCTCCAGTCTGGACTGGGGGTGCTCTATCTGGTGCACAGCTGTCACCTTGGGATCTCCCTTCCCTCTCATCCTAGAGGCTGTCTTTGTCTCTCTCCTGTGTTGGATCTCGTTTTCTGTCGTCCAGTGTTTTCTTCTTTCTTAATCATTTTTTTTTATATTGTTGCTCATAACCCTTTGCCCATGAAGTAAATTTTTGGAACTTGTGCAGGAATGAAAATGTCTTTGTTATGTCCTCACTTTGATTGAAAAGTCTATGATTGCTCTATTGACTTCTTGCTTCCATTCTTACTTTTGAGTCAGAAGCCTTTCTGATTCCTCATCCTTTATACTGGGCTGTTCGTTTTTCCTCTTTGAAAGCTTGCAGGCTCTCTTGTTCTTGGTGTTCTAAAACTCGCCATTATCTTGCTTGGTGTGGGTCTGTTTTCACCCATTGTGCTGGGACTAGATATGCCCTTTAATCAGTCAACTAACATCCTTCAGTTTTGCAAAAAATTTTTTTTTTTTTTAAAGATTTTTATTGGGGAATTGGGAACAGTGCTGGGGAATTGGGGCAGGGGAACAGACAAGTTATTGTCCTTTTGTTCTTCAGTCTAGTTGTGGAGGACGTTGCTTCACTGGCCCAGGTTGGCACCAT